GAGTCATACAATGAAGTAAAAGATGGGGGCATTTTTATCATTTTCACCCTCGATGATATTTAAGTCCTAAACATCCTAATGTTCCTTTTAAATTCCATATACATCATTAAATCAAATTCTAACCATATTTTCAAAATTCATGCTCAACTGAATCCTTTTCATAGGTCAATTTAATCAATTACTTAATTTTTGGGTTCTATTAGGTCGTACTGAGTAAAGCGTTCAGTTTAAGCACCGTGTGCTTCAAGTCCTTAATCCTTTCTATTTACTCGATATTAAGTAAAACTTCACTTTAGAGGGAAAATCAAGATACCTCTACAAATATGGTTTGAAATAAGTCTAAAATGGCTACTTATTATGTTAGCTAGTTTATGGAGTAGGAGCCCTGTTGGGAGGCCCCCGTCCATTTCACACACAATACTGGCACACGTTAAACTCAAGACTCAAGGTACTACCCTATCAAAGACCAATTTAGGTCTAAATCAATCGATACTCTCTCATCATCGACCAATCTAAATCTCTTAGTTTCGTTAGGAAATGAACAAGTTTGGTGAAGAACTCGAGGAGTGAAATGGTTTGAACGAAGGGACGAATGTAGGTGTACAAGCAATGTACAATGAAGGGACGAACGCATCAAGCAAATGTCCACACATGTCAAGAATAGAGCTGAAGTTCAAACTCAAGACATTTGGAATGAAGTAGTCAATAAGGAGGCATCACGTAACTAAACTGGTCTTTTCTTAAATTTTATTGGTAGGAATCGCTTGGAAATGAACAAGTAAGTTAACCAAGATTTAAAGAAACATGAAAGGTTTAAGCCAAGAACCGTGGCTTAAGTACTAAAATTGGACATTTTGTTCGAGAATCAAGTAACCTTAAATTAATCTACGAAATAGACTAAGTTACTTATAAAATTTTAATAGAGGTAAAATTAACATATTAAGGTTATATATGAAATTTGGAGGTAAAATGACCATAAAGTTAATGTAGTAACATACCATTGATTTATTATCCAAATGACCTCCCAATGAAATTAAATTTTATAAGAGGATTTATTTGATGATTCCTAAAGTCTATGCATAATTTTTAAACTATTGGATCATGTTTGAAGCTCGATCCAAGATTTAAATTTTAAATTACTAAAATGTCCCTATTGGTTACCTTAAGATTTATACATCCTAATGAACTACAATGAGCCACTACAAGAAACAATCAATACAATAGCTTACGAAAAATGCTATCATAGACTTTTTATAGCGTTTTTCATATGTCGTGATAACCCATGTTATTAAAAGTCTAAGACATTTTATAGCGTTTTTTTGTAGCTATAATAAATGCTATAATAAAGTATGAAGTTATAGTTTTTATACATTGTTATATAATCATTTTATAGCGTTTTTATTACTGCTATTATATGTTTAACTTAACTATAATATTGTGTTATCTTTAACTTATAATTGCTTTTTTTTAACGCTACAATATAATATTTATAAATTTAATATTATGCTATAATAAAGTTATTTAATCATTTATAATAATTATAATTATTCTAATAATTTTTTATAGAATTTATTATTTTTTATTTTTTATGGTCAAAATTTATTTTAATATTTAAATATCATTGAATTAATTATATTGTAATAAAATTTAATCCAAGTACTTATCCTTAACTAAACACACATGAAATACATAACACTAAATGTCATGACTTCAATTCATAATTGAAATTTTATAATCTATTTACGTTACAAATTAATGTATTCAATAATTTCCTAAAAGAAAGGGTTATTCAAATGATACAAGATAAAGTATTCTCCACTATCTGCATTGTTGTTCAATGAATGAGAGTAGCTATCATGTCAAGGCTTTGCATTGTAAGTCTTCTATCATCTTTGCTCATGAGTATCCTCTTATGAACTTTTCAGCTGACATATTAAAACAATATTTTATAAGATAATGGAACAAAAAAATAAGTAAAATAGAAACAAGATTTCACTATTATAACCACTCAAATCCTAAGTAGTAAAGGTAAATTTTTAACTCAATTTAGCGTTAGAATCTTACCAAAAAAATTTATAAAGAAAAAAAGAAGTGAAAACTAAAGAGTTCTTCAAATTTCAGATTGAGATGTATGTATAATCATCAAATAGAGAGAAATTTGCTGTATAAATTCAAATTCAAAAATCAAAACATTCACATCATTCAAACGAAGATCAAACTTAGAATCAAAGTATCTCTACACTTCTACATCTTCTCTGGCCAAAACCACTTTAAAATTCAAAACAATCATAAATAGAGAAGAGTATTAGAGGAAGTGACTTTAAATCCATAGTTGAACATCAAGAATCTAAAATACAGCAACCAATTCCGATTGAACTTACCTAAATCTTTGGAGGCTCCTGGTATGAAATCTCGAAAACCTCTTCCTTCAAGTCACTGTTGCTCTGCTCATCTTCATCCCTCTAACCTTTTGAAAGAGGATAATTAATGAAAATGGTAGGTGGGAGTTAAAAAAATTGTACAAAAAAAAAAAAATGTAGCTCAATTTTTCATAGCTTTTAGTTCAAAATGTTATATTTAAAATCTACAAAGGTATTGTTTTTTTGTGGCGACAGAGACATGCAATGGTGTGATCAGAAATTTGTTGTAAAGTCTCTAGAGTGATCTCATTTTCCAGCTATTCTAGGAAGAAACTTGTTTACAATTACTCAATATTCAAGAAATGCAAGAAAGAAGACGGAGAAACATCACTCTCATTCCACAACAACTAACCATATATGCTCTGTATAAGAACAAATCATTAACATTAAAACCAAAACAAATATACGATGACTGCACTAGTTGTGATAGTGCAGCCTACTTTAACAAATTGTAGGTTCAAATCTTAAATCAAGAGGGAACACAAAGGATTAGAAATCTTCTTCGTAATTGATAAAAGTCTTTTAATTAAAATTGTCATTAGATAAATATTTTTCAAAGTGAATTAAGACAATTAAGCAAAATGTGGGTATCTACAAAAACTTATTTGAATCGTTTGTGAAGATAATGGAAAGCAGCTTGTTGTGCAAAATGTCCTTGTTTTATTAATTTTGTCTCGTGTCTATATCTATATTTCTCATCCAAATAACCAATAACATAATGAGCTAACGGTCATGATTTCCCCTTCACCCCTTCATTCCTTACAGCAACCACACATGCCCTCCTAACACTAAAGTGAAAGCTATTCTACAACAATGGTTCTTCTGTATTTAAATGACCCTTAAATCTATTTTACCTCACTAAAGAATCAAATTCAAGAGTAATGCATCAAAATCATAAGTACATGTCTATGTCTATCAGTAACCACTCAGCCCATTTCAAGCACTAAGCTTCTAAACTTAACAACTAACAGAAAGAAAAAAAAAGTTGATTAAAATACAAAATCTTTTGTAAGGGGAGCCGTTCCATGTGTCGGTCAGGAAAAAAAAAAAAAAAAGGATGGGCACATCTTGTTTCCATCGGTAATCCTATTTCAAAGCCTTATTTGACATGATTACGCAACCTAGGTCAACATATATGTTTTTCTTCCCCTCCATCGGATCGAGAAGCCAGCTCCTCTACATTTCGTCCAGTTCATTCTGGTTGTACGATTGCGATAGCAGGGCCGCCCAATCCCAATCCTCTGCGTTCCGGTCATGATCCTCGCCGCCGCCTCTACTGCCGTTGTTGTGGTCATTGTCGATCACTTCCAGCAGCCTAATGAGGGAAATGATTGAGTTTGAAACTATCCATGGAAAGAAATGAGCTAAAAGAAGGGAGAGAAACCTAAAAGAAAAGAAATGAGAGAAAAAAAAAAGGGAATAGAGAGGAGATTCATGTTTTCCTCATCTAGGTGGGATACCTTGCATCCTTTTTTCTTGAGCACGATGTCATATTTCCATGTTTTCCTCACTTAAATAGGATGTCATGTACTGTGTTTTTACAGATGCCAGCTATGTTTTAGGATTTCTTGGCCATGTTTTGACAAGATGATACGTTCACATTCATGATGTTCACCTATCATGTGACCATTTTTCTTGGAGAGTAGTCTAAAGACATGTTAGGAACTACTATCGATAGACCATGTACCATGACTCATGACCACAAGCCAAGAAACCATGCCCAATTTATGGTTAGAACAAGGAATAGTATACCTTAGCACCCACTATGGATACGATTAAGAAGCTTACTTACGGAATCTTGTACTCACTTCATATTTTCCATGTTTTTTAGGTAGATAGGGAGCAGAAGCCATAGAAAGCCACACCACTACAAATAAACAAAAAGAAAAATATTTTGTTTGTTTAAATATACTCTATTTTGAATATAATGTAAATAACATGTATATTATATTTTAAATTCCCTTTGTTTTATTTTTTTTTTTAATTTTTATAGCGTGTTTTTATCTCATTTTATGGTACCATTCGTGCTCTATAAACCCTCGAAAATCTAGTCTATATTTGTGTATATTTTATCTTAAAATTTTTTAGAGCCTTGTTTTTAAAAGTAAATTTCTTTTTATTGTATTTTCATAACTCCTTTGCACCAATTTACGTTGTGATTCGTGCTTTAAACAACTGATTTCGTGACAGGATATTGAGTAATCCATGTTATTCTTTCATCGTTCGAGACCCTAAGCATGCATATTCTTAGCATATGAAGCTAAACTATTCATATTAAAGTAACTCTCGATTCCGACCAGTATTTCTTGAAGAAATTTTTTTTTAACATGGCTACTTTAAGGTGTTTTTAGGATCTTGATTTTCGTGCTCTCAATGCTCTATTTTATTTTTTTATTTTTTAATTTCTTGGATAAGTCCTAAATTGAGTCGAGGAGCTCCTAAATTTAATATATTACCATCCATATTTATTTAATGTATTTTTCTAGTATAAATAATAATATTATTAGTAAAAAGAAAAAAATTAAATATTAATTATTTATATGAGCATTTTCTTACCACAAAACTTGGAGGGGTTATTAATCGGCACGTACTGTCCGTCTTAAGGATTCAAACGGGTTTCCCTCATTCTTTCAGTTCCCGACCTAACCCTCCATTTTCACCTCATCCAGAAGCCAAAGAACGATGTTGAAGCTACAGCGATGGTTGTCCAGGTATCGACTCCTCTCGCCTTTTTAACTTCCATTTCATACCACTGTGCTACTATCTCTTTGGTTTTCAATGCCTTTCTCTACTTTCTCCTTGAACTGTCTGCTAAATCACTCTTAAAATCAATGTTCTTACCGCACCTGTGCCCTATGCGACTCAATGTTCTTTTGTTACCTTTCATTTCTATTTTCTGGCAATGCTGTTCGTTATCATCCATTCTTTTCTTTTCCCTCACTCCTCGATGTTCAAGGAAACGTAACTTTTTCTGGTAGTGATTCTACTTTCTACTGTTTTTTTTTTTTGTTTGTTTATTTGTCTAATGGTTTTCCTTCAGTTGGATATTTTATAGTTGCCTTCTTGGGAATTTTGCGATGTTTGTGTTAGCACTTTTATTTCCGGAAAGCTCGTTTTGAAAATGAAGTTGCGTTTGATGATTTCTAAAATGCTCGGAGTTATTGGAAGATTTCAAGGTTTGAAGGGAAATCCTGTCCTTCAAGAGAATGGTTCCTGTATATAAGTTGGTTGATTATTTTGGAAGTGTGTTTATACTTCTTCCTGACTATATAGTCTATGTGATGCATTTGATTTACTTTGTTATTTCTCACCTTTTAAAAAAAGTTTGCACCTGCCCCAAGTCTTAAGACTTTGAAGAAATCAAGGGTTTTCCTTTTACACCCAAAGACCCGAACACACGACCTAGAAATAGATTATTTATAAGAATACATGAACAATAAGTTCTTAAAATAGATATTCAAACATATTTTAACTAAATTTTGTTCTGAAACATAGAACCCTATTGCAAAATGTTCCCAAGCAAGTCTTGAGGATTTTGATCTCTTCTTTCTAGCCTCTAGGGATTTAATTTTTCTCCATATTCTTGTAACCAGCGCCTTCGGTTCATCAATACTCTTAATGTATTTCCTGTAAATCTTTTATCACCCATGTTGTTTCGTCTTACAATGGGAGACTTTGTAGGTGAAAACTTCAAAACAAGTAAGGTTTTTCTAAAGAATGGTTGCTTATCTTTATTCAAAGATCTTACTTCTTTGTGCTCTGCTAGTGGTGTGCTTTGTGCAAGCACAAATGTCAGGAGACTCGCACTGCATTCTTTTGCAGTAATCTTTCTCGTCCCCAAGTGTGGTGTTGATTTTTTTTGGTCTTTTTATATATCCTGAGTTCCGAATTGAGGGTGTCACCTGTTGATGGAGGAGTTTTTTTGGGCTTTTTCTGTTAATCAGGAAGAAAGGGTTCTCTAGAAGGTATGGCTTCTCTGGAAGGTTAGGTTCTTTTCTATATTAGGAATATCTCGGTGGGGAAAGTTGAACCGTTTTTAGGTTTAGTTGAGGGATCTTGAGATACATGATATTGGATCATCTAGCTATCAGATTCCATTGTAAAGTGAAGATATGCTTGATACATTATTTAGTTATGCCTCTTGGTGGGAATCCGAAATTGGATGATTTTTGGCTTCCATTCATGCAAAGGGTGCTGATTAAAGTAGATAGATTCTATAGTTTTCAACTATCAAGAGGAGGATGACTTACTTTGCTTCATGCCAAGAAATATCTGTTTGGAAATTGAAGGGAAAGAAAAGAGTGAAAGGGGCAGCAGGGTTGGAAAACTAAAACATCTTGTCAATTGAATTTGGTCTTAGAAGGGGAGGGTTTTTTGGAATCAGTAGTTTAGGAGTACAAATTTTGGCCATATTAGCTTAGTAAGATGGGCCTGCAGATTCTTTTAAGCCCATAATGATTTGTAGCACAAAATGATTGCAAGCATACATGGAGAAGAAGACTTTTGGTGGCACACAAAAGCTAGAATAAATGGCAGTCATAGAAGTCCTTGGGAGAGTATATCTAAACAGTGAGATTGGCGCAGAATCTTCCCTCTCCTAGATTGGCATTAGTATTAGAGTTCTTGTTTTGGGAAGATCTAGTGCTTGGTGAGAATCATATGCTTAGATTTTCACACCTTTTCAGGGTCTCTTTGAAATTTTTTGGATTTATTATTATTATTAGCATAGTTATGGTTTCTGTAAATATATTAGTTATCTTGCTCTTCATTGTCGTTTTATTTTCTCCTATTTAGGATTTACCTTGTACATTTATAAATATCTCTTTAGTGAATGAAATGACAGTTAATCTTTGGTTATTCTCTAACCTTTTTCTATCTACATCTTGACCTAATGTCAATATAGTGATGGAACACTTGTTCTCTTAACTGTTTGTCTCATTCTTTTAGGGTTATTGGAATCTTTAGGTAATTTTCTTTTGACAGACTGGGTGTTTGAACTCCCTTGTAACTTTCCTCTTATTAATAAAAAGTTTGTTCCTTGTTAAACTTTTTACTGGTTAAGAACATGTAAATGATTAAATAAAAAATGTTTGATGTATAACTGTTTTCTTTAACTCATATTTTATGGCCTAATTTTCTCCATTCAGTGGTCTGAACTTGTAGATTAATAATAATGCTACATAGCCTCAGATTTTGGACCAATTTTACTTTTAGTTTCCCCCTCCTTTTGTAGATGCTTAAAAATTCAATTAATATGTCATTATATAACATGGAAACAGGAACCAGCTATTTGAACAAGTTGTGTGTAAGAAAGCTGTTCATGTTGACCATGCTTTTGGGTCACATCCTTTCTCATCTGGAGTCGGCATTCCAAGACAAAATTTTACTCATACAGGTACATTGTTTAGCAATGAAAATTCTTATACATTTTGAAATATAATCTGCTGGTTATATACTGTTGTATGCCTTAATTTTCCTACTTCGGTGTTAAGTGCAGGCTTTTAGTGGTGGTATGAGGTAAAGTAATTTCAATAAAAGATGAAATTTCATGTGGGGATTAGATAAAAAAACAAACTCCATGAAAAAGATTCTACAATTTTATTTTTAAAAAGGCATTCCTAAAGTAACAGCCACCAGGAGTATCTCTAAAAGTATTTATTGTGGAAGCTGAAAGAGAGAAAGGCATCATAACCTTTCCATCCATATATCAAGGACACAGTTTTCATATTTATCTTCCAAGTTTTCAAGACATGAGTCTCTTTATTGTGTCTAATGGCCTAACGTTTTTCTCTTGCAGTCCCAAAGAATGAAAATGACCGAGTTTATGCTGCTTATAATGTATATAAGGGCAAAGCTGGAGTCTCAATGTTTCCTTGTCTGCCAACTTTCACTAAATTAAAGGTATATAATGATAAATAAATAAATAAATAAATAAATAAATAAATAAATAAATATATATATATAAAGTAAAATCAATTTTGTTTTCACTCTTTGTATGATTGTATTATAGTCTGGGAGTCTTGTAGTTGATCGACGTGGTTCAGTACTGCTGACGTTCTTTCCTGCCATAGGGGAGCGCAAGTATGATTGGACAAAAAAACAGGTCAATTTTTCTTTCTCCATTCTTTGTATTTGTAGTTCAGATGTCTACTGGAAGTTTCCCTTAGATTGTACTATCAGTAACTTTCATGACTACGCATGTGGGAGAATTGTTACAGCCTCTATTGTAATATTAATTATACTACATATTGCAATATTAATTATACTACATTAGAGGATTAACTTTACATCACACACACTAACGAGGGATGGAAGTAGGTTGAACAAAGGATTCTCCTTTTATATTTCGATTACCTTTGGGATATTCCGTCAACCTTCTAAACCCATGATGCTCCTAACGTTTCCCAATCCAATTCTAGGTTTAGCTAGAGGAGTTATTCACCCAACGACAAGACCCTCCACCTCGTGATGATGTTTTTGAGTTTGCCTTCAAAAGTTTGCTTAGTGTGGAATTTGTCATTCAGCTAGTGAATTTCAATATGAAGGTTGGATGTTCTTGAAGATTCTTTCTTGAAAGCTTTTGAATTATTATTTTATGATTGTGACAAGAAGGCTCCTCTTCCTATTTCTCCATTCATGCTGGCCAAAGTTGCTCTATTGATAGAAGCCCGTGGTCTTGAGTTTCGTGAAATTCTTCTTTTGGTTCAAGGAGGAAGCCATGTCGTGATTTAGCTTTGCAAAGTTTCGTTTCGTCTTCTTCGACATATTTGGATTGACTTGCCTGAGGAGATTTCTTTCCCTTTGCTGGTGATGGTTTTTCCAAAGCTTCTTTCAAGAGTGGGATTGTCATCACTTGAACTGATACATCAAACACGTTATTTCTCAAAATTTTCCTTTAAAGTCATTTTATACTAAAGACTTGAGAATTTTAATCTACTTCTTGGGTATGGAAGAAATGAGAAGCAAGAAGGGTATCTTTATGTTACAGAGAGAATATGTTTTAGTATCTGAAACTGAAAAATTGGGAGCCAAGTCATCTAGTATTCCAATGATGTCTAGTTTGCAACTTACAAAGGATGGAGAACCGTTTAAAGACCTTGAGAGATACAAAAGATTGGTTGGAAAGTTGAATTACATTATGGTGGCATGACCAGGCATCACTTATTCAAGTATTGTGAGTTAGTTTATGACTTCACCCACAGTGGATCATTCGACTATAGTACAAAACATTCTGTGGTTTTTGAGGCTATCCCTAGACGTGAAATTTTATATGAAAAACATGATCATACGAAGATCCAGTGCTTTTTGAATGCCGATTGGGCAAGATAAAAGAAGTTAGAAGATCGACTTTTGACTATTTGTGTTTTTTGTTAGAAGTAATTTGGCCTCATGAAAAGAATTAGATACAAAATGTAGTTTCTGTGTCTCATGATCAAGTGTTGAATAAACTACAGAAATATGACACTATCAAATAATGTTGGTCCATCATCTCTGATTGAATTAGGCTATATTGGAGTTAGAGGTTGTGGCATGACAATTAAGTTGCTCTTCTTATTGCATCCAACTCAATATTTCATGAGCGGACCAAACATATTGAATTGATTGTCATTTTGTTTGTGAGAAAATACAATAAGATTTAGTATCTACTGGATATCTGAAGTCACTCAAGAGCAATTAGGAGATATTTTCACGGAAACTTTAAATGAAGTTGGAATTGATTACCTTTGTAACAAGTTGAGGATAATTAATATATTTTCTCAAGCTTAAGGGAGTGTCACAGGATATATGTGAACACAAAAAGCTTCTTAATCATTTGCAGTTTATTGTAATTTTATTATTCTTAATTTACAGCTTCAATGTGAGCCTATATACATCATATTATATATATGTTGAACTCTAATGTATCTAACATGTGGATTCTACTCTTCCATATTTTTGTCTCACTGTATATTCTCACTTATACTGCATCTTTCCTGATTAATTCAATTTATATATTGCAGTACTTTTCATTGTCCCCAACAGAGGTTGGTACTTTAATAAGTTTGGGTCCCAGAGACTCTTGTGAATTCTTCCATGACCCTGGAATGCTTTCAAGGTTGGTTCCATTGCTATTTCTAATGCAATATAGTACCCATTTCTTAGAGAAATAATTAAATATCTTATAAAAGAACAAAAGCAAATAAAATGAGGCTGCTTTATTAACGACACGGTATTAACAAAAAACCAACGAAATATTTTACGTTCAGCACTTTCGGTTTATTTTGTTGAGTAATTTCTTGCAGTACTGCTGGTCAAGTAAGGAAGAGCTTAACAATTAAGGCCCATGCAGATGGCAATGGCTATTTCATCTCTTTGAGTAAGGATACAAAACATTAAAGAGAAAAGTTCACTGCTAAAGTCAATTCATTTGAAAGATCAGATATTGACTTGTTATGCACTGTCGGATTAAAATGTCTTGCTTGCTTTAAGCTGAACGCTTTGTGTGCGTGAGTACCTTTTTTGTTGTCCTTTGTTTATTGCTTCCTCAATTTTATATGGAATAAAGGTTGTTGGAATTTTCAATTTCATGATCTTTGGCAGTTGGGAGTTTTGACAAAGCAAATCGTGACTCTACTGATTAGATTTCGAAACATTGAGCTTATCTTTATAATCTATAAGACCTTATTCAGCAATCATCCAATTTTATAGATTGTCTGTACTGATGCTTGGTTATTCATTTTTAAATCTATTTTTCTTGATCAACTTATTTTCTGTCACTGTTTCTATGAAGAACTTATCCTCAGCTGAATTTATATTCTTCCCTTTTCTGCAGATGTTGTTAATAACACGCAAAGTACCAAAGAATTCTTGAGTGTTCCCTTCACAGCAGGCGAATTTTCTGTGATGAAGACAGCTTGCAGTGTATGAATTGCATCTCTCTAATTTATCTTTTAGATCATCAGAATATACTGATTTGTATTTAGATGCAGCATCATTATAGCAGAGTTGATATCTAATAGAAGATCTTGTCATTAAAAAAAAATAAAAAGAAAAAAAAAGAAAAGAAAAAAACAACAGTAAATATAGGAAACAGCAGCCTAGTGGATAGAACAGACTTTGAATTATATGCTTTTGGAATGTCTTTTAGTACCCCAAAGAAAAAAAAACGTTAAATATTTCCCTAGATACTAAGTAATATTAATCTGAATGAATTCCTAAATATTAGGAAACAGTAAATCTTAGATACAGATAGGTTCAATTACTTCCCATATTACTTTCCCTCTTTGAACACGAAGTTGAGGAATAGATATAATTCATCCATACCGTGCTTGGATATTAACTCATGCCTTAAGTCAAGGACATTCATATATCATCTATGCCTTAAGTCAAGGACATTCATATATCATCTATGCCTTAAGTCAAGGACATTAATATATCATCTATGCCTTAAGTCAAGGACATTCATATATCATCTATGCCTTAAGTCAAGGGCATTCATATATCATCTATGCCTTAAGTCAAGGGCATTCATATATCATCTATGCCTTAAGTCAAGGACATTCATATATCATCTATGCCTTGAGTCAAGGACATTCATATATCATCTATGCCTTAAGTCAAGGACATTCATATATCATCTATGCCTTAAGTCAAGGACATTCATATATCATCTATGCCTTAAGTCAAGGACATTCATATATCATCTATTCCTAGCTTGGATATTAACTCATGAAACAGAGAGTTGTGAAGTTTTTTTGTTAGTATATCTGCTAATTAAAGCTGAGAGGACACATAACTGTTGCGTACTATCCCTTCCTCTAATTTCTCCTTTATAAAATATTGATCAGTTTCAATATGCTTTGTCCTTTCATGATGGATAGGATTATGTGCAATATTGATAGCTGATTTGTTGTAGTAGTACATCTTCATTGGAATTTCTCACTTAATTTGTAAGTTATCAAGAATTATTTGCAACCATAAGAGATCACATAGTTCTTGTACAATAGCTCGTAATTTTGATTTGATAGATGATCTAGCCACCTCATTTTGCTTCTCCATGTTATTAAATTACCTCCAAGAAAAGTACAATACCCCGTAGCAAATCTTCTGTCCACTATTGAATCATCATAGGTAGCATCAGAGTGAATTTCCAATGCAAGAGAATTGTTCGATTTGAATAAAATTTCTTTTCTTCAAGTTCTTTTTCCATTTGAACAATATTTCTATAGTGTTCATCTTCACAACTTGGACAAATGTCTCTTGGTAATCTATATCGTAAGTTTGAGTGTATCCTTTAGCTACTAACCTTGCATTGTACCTTTCTAATCTTTCATCAACCTTGTACCGTAAAAAGTCACCTACACCTAACTATATTTTTTTCTTTGAGCCTCTCTGCAACCTCCCTCATGTTATTCTTTTCTAGAGCATGCAGTTCTTCTTTCATGGTATCCTACCACTCTTTTGGATAAAGCCTCAGGAACTGTGTTAGGTATAACAACTGAATTTAGACTCACCATAAAACTCTTGTGTGATGGAGATAGTCTTTCTCAAGAGAGATATAGTTTGATAGGGAGTAAGTGTTGTTTTGTGCGTTCTTTAGTAGGTTTTCGAAAAGCTGGGTCTATCATCTATTGGTACTTGTGTTACATCCTCATTTTGAGTAGAGTTGGTTGTTTGGACTTGTGTCGATTCTGAAATGACTTTTCTTCAAGAATATACTCGAGAGCAATGGAGGTGGAGTGTATGGTTCTGTTGGTAACTTTGCAGTGGTAGAAGTAGACTTATAATTAGAATCAATAGTAGGCATGGACTCAATAACAACTCATTTAGTGTATCCAGGGGTTCAATAGTTCCGCAAGGACTCTCTTCAATCTCCATGTTCTACATCTGAAGAGAGACCTTAGAGAAGAATATCACATCAATTTAAGGGTAAACTTTCTAGATGTAGGGTTTTTACATTAGTTCCCCTTTGTGGTTGAAGACTATCCTAGAAACACATTTTATTGCTCTCAGATTAAGTTTTTACCTCTCTCTGAGTGTTATGAACATAAACCCAAATATACGGGGTGTGAGACCATTTGATGTTTGAAAGTAAGGATGAAATTGGTTAAGAAATTATTTTGGGCTTAGATTATTCAGGATGGGAGGCGATTAATCAAGTAAGTTGTTGGCATGTTTTCGTGGTCAGTTAGTGTTTAAAAGGTGTCCATTTTTCCTGTCAGCTACTCCATTTTGTTGCGGTGTAATAGCACAAGAAAAATCATGAATAATGCCTTATTCTTGAGATTGAAAATATGGGGATAAAGTTGGATTGAGATTGACTCCAAATTGAGTCTGAATCTTTGAGTGGAAGTAGGAATAATATTACTAACCTTTGATTTTTGTTTGAGAAGAAATAGTCATGTGAGAAACCAACTAGCCCCAGAAATACTTGGAACGGTTAAGGGTTCCCATATTGATCTATGAATCAAATGGATAGAGTTTTTATTTTGGCTTATGGGAAAAGATATACGAGTATATTTGGTGAATTCACATGTATCACATTGAAAACTCTTTGAAAGGAATTTAGAAACATAATTCTCAAAACTTTAAATAGGATGACCCTGCAAAAGTGATGTAACCGAATCACATTTTTATTAGAAGAACCATGAAATGACATAGGTGTAGGGTGTCACGGTCATGCATTTTTCAACCGCGTGGCATCATGACCTTGACACTCACGACCAGCCTTGATGGAACTCAAGTTCCACATTCATTTTTTGCCCGGATTTGTGGCTTCGTTGGACCTTTAGGCGAGGTTTGTCTTCGCCAACTAAACACAACTTGTATGGAATCCAAGCTTGTTCAGTCACACACCCTGCTTGTACGTACATGTTCAGTTGTTTGCGATTCTAGTCGACTTGCCTCTACATTAGGCCAAGTCATTCGACTCGACCATGCCTCTACATGGGGCTGAAGTCTCTCAACACAACATCGCATCTCAATGTCATCTCAATTCACAATTAGCATGGCCCCACATGTCTTGATGCCATCATAATTCATGGGGTGTCGACCATCCTAGCTTGCTTAGTTATGCCATCAAGAAAGGGTCCATGTGTCGTTCATAATGTCAAGACATTCCTAACATCCATCCTATGGAGGTATTGAACCTTTCCATGTCCATGCCATATCATTTACAAATTTCGTACGATATAGCAAGTGTATGATCCAACCTCCGACACATGGGCTGGGGTGCAATGTTGGCACACTTGTGATGTTAGACACTGTCCTTAAAAAATCCATTTTAAAGAAAGGTATTCGAGACACTCGTCTCACAATGCTCGCCCTCACTGTGACACACGAATGTGCCACATGGTAGCTTGCTTAGACCACAGGGCTTGGGGTATAGTGGAGAGCTGACAACATGTCTTCCCTTAAGGTACATTTTGAGGCATTTTGATATGAACCACGACCAAGGAATTTCCATACCTCAAGGTCCATTACAAGAACGAGAGCCAAGAAGCTACAACAAACTTTGTACACTTATATTCAAGCTATGGTGAGCTCATCAAAGGAAATTCTAGAAGACGTTAGAGACCTCCATTATATGCTGTGTAAAGTTGAGCTTCAAGAAAGAGATGCAGTAAATGCTAAGTTGCATTTAATGAACTCAGCTAAATTTATGGAACTAGTCCAAAGATTATTAACACATTTCATTCATTGCACTATTTAATTATAATTTAAATATTTGTTTGTTTTTCATATAGGAGTTAGGATATATTGTAACCTACTTAGGTTACCATATTCCACCATTAACTAGCGGGAGGTTATGGGTATTTCTCATTTACTAGCCCATTTAATTTGTGAGTTATATGACATATAGGTTAAAGTTCTAAAGCCTTCTTTTCTTTGATTAGAGACGTGATGTTTTGGAATTAAAAAAAAAAAAAAATAGAATTTCTATTTTTTTTTTAGCTTTGTTGAGAGCTAAGATTTTCTTTACAAATTCTTGGGTTTAGAACTATTCTAGAGTCATTCAAGTGGTATTGATCAAATCTCTTGTGGAGTGATTCGAATCACGAGTTTAGAAACGAGTTTTCTTTACTCTTGATCTTGATCATCAAGGTAATTCATTCCATACTTTCCCTCGGGTTGATTCCATATCATTTGAGTTACATATAATAATCAAGAGTTAAAAAAAAGAAACATTTAACATCAATAAGCTTTTTTTTTTTTTTTTTTCTCTTTTTTCTTTCTTTCTTTAACGGATTGATTGGCAAAATCTAATCAATTTACCAACAAGAAAATTGATTTAGAAGATCTTAAAGAAAACAAAGTGTTGATGAGATACAGATCTAACACTTTATAAAATATATCAACATGAATTAAAGCATAAAAATAATATAATTGTTTAGACAAAATGTCAACACACTACACAAACCGAAAAAAATATATATATAGATGAGAATCGAAAGAGATAAATGCAAGGAAACATATATCCGATCTTGAGCCTAGAGCTCTGATACCAAATAATATGGAATCAACCCAAGGAAAAGTATGGAACGGATTACCTTGATGATCAAAATCAAGAGTAAAGAAAACTCGTTTCTAAAATCGTGATTCGAATCGCTTCACAAGAGATTTGATCAATACCACTTGAATGACTCTAGCATGCAAGTTCTAAACACACGAATTTGTAAAAAAAATCTTAGCTCTCAACAAAGCTAAAATAAATAAAAATTCTATTTTTTTTTAATTCCAAAACCTGATGCTCTAATCAAAGAAAAGGCTTTATATAGCTTTTAAACTTTAACCTATATGACACATAACTCCCAAATTAAATGGACTAATAAATGAGAAATATCCATAATCTCCATATATAGCTTTTCAAATTAAATTGGCTACTAAAGGAGAAATACTCGTAACCTCCATATATAGCTTTTACAACTGCTAATATATGAGAAATACTCGTAACCTCCATATATAGCTTTTACAACTGCTGATAAATGAGAAATACTCATAACTTCCATATTAAAATGGTAGTTAAGGGTGGAATATGGTAGAAATACCCATAACTTCCATATTAAAATGGCTAGTTAAGGGTGGAATATGGTAACCTAGGTACGTTACAATATACTTCTTATATGAAAAAGAAACAAATATTTAAATTATAACTAAATAGTGCAATGAATGAAATGTGCTTATTAGTCATCTGTGGACTAGTTTCATAAATTTAGCTGGGTTCATTAAATGAAACTTAAAGTGTATTTAATGCATCTCTTTCTTGAAGCTCAACTTTACACAACATATGATGGAGATCTCCAATGTCTTCTAGAATTTTCTTTGATGAACTCACCCTAGCTTGAATATAAGTGTACAAGGTTTGTTGTAGCTTCTTGGCTCTCGTCCTTGTAATTGGACCTTGAGGTATGAAAATTTCTGGTCGTAGTTCATATCACATTTCCAACCGACAAGTGTAGACATGATTTTTGAAAATGGTCATATAGTGTTGTGGAGTATCCATCCAGTGTCCAATCGACACCAAATTTGGTGAGCTTTCATATTTCATATGGATGAACTTGACTCCAGAACCGCATACCCAAATTTCTTCTAAAACTCCGACTTTCAAGGTTAAGGCCCGAAGCTTTACTCGGCCCTTCAACATTCCTATCTTCGACACTCTTATTTGCTTGTTTATCTTTGACACTCTTGTTTGCTTGTTTGTCTTTGACACTCTTGTTTGCTTGTTTATCTTTGACACTCTTGGCTTCAATGTACACCTTATATGGTGTGTTGGATGATGCTCCATCCTTCTCGGTTGCATTACGGCCCTGTCTTGTCTCGACCCTCGCGTGGCCTATTGGGCACCTCTTTGTGTTGCCACATTGTCATGATAGCATGTGAGGGTCATAAATTACTTTCTTCATAGTATGGTTGTGACATTCTGTCCCACTTAAACTAGTCATCGTCTTTGATGACTCTCTCGTGGGCACAATCACTCCATGGATTGTGAACTCTCCCCCACTTAATCTCGACATTGTCCTCGATGACAATCCAAACTCTGGATTGGCTGTCAACTTGACCCACTGAAACTGTTGATGGACAAATATCAACTCTATGCTACTCTTTTATCAAAATGCTTATCTTACTAACGCCTTGTGGTCCGCTTGGGGACAACCTTGCCCCAACTTCAACATTGGCACTTCTCGTAGCCAGTACACATTCTTTGAGCAGTTGAACGGTACACCCTTCAGGGTGAGTCTAGCAAGCCAATCACAAAATTCCTCTTTGTGGCACCAACTTTTACGAAAGCGGAGTCTAGATTGCTGCTAATTGACTTGTTGGGAAATCGTCGTACATCAGAACAAATATGGGACTTGCACACTACTTATGGACTTCCACTAATAGACCTTCCTTCGATCTCCAAAAATCGCAGCATAAGCACGACAAAACAACTTGCCACATGGTTGTGAGCTATCCCACTTGGGACCTCCTTCACCTATCTTTCGGACTCAGCCGATGGCCAAACTAGCTGGCGTCGGCATATCTCACATGAGCTAGGGAGTGCCCCCCAAATAGAGCCACCTTGGCCTCACCCTCATTTAGAAGCAAAGTCAGAGCGTTTCACACAGCCTTTGTTGGCACTGCAGTTTAGCCAACTCTCACTAGCCACCTTCATGTAGCAACGCTACCTTGACACTTCTCTGGTCTTGCTCATCTCTATATGTCCACGTCTAGTTGATGCTCGCTGGTCTAGACCCTCTTGTGAAGTCAAATCTTTGTAACTCACAAGGTCCTAACCTTCATCTCACAATCTCCCCAGAATGCATGTTACCTAGGCATGCTCTTAGACCATGTTTTATACCCAAAAAGGAAAAAACAACACGCTCACAACAAACATATGATGCATAACTCAGATAACCCAAGGATACATCATGCTATCATCACACAACCATAGTACAATATTACACAATTCATCATGCTCAACATAAACATAACAAATCATGGAGAGATATATCTTTCGCTTGATATAGTAGACAAGAAAACATATAGCAGCTCCACGTATTTGAATAGACGAATGAGGTAGAAACTACTACAGAGATCAATCCAAAATTAAATCAATGGTGTTCCAACCTAGAGAAACACCGCCTAGAGGTTGGAATTGAGTTTGATAATCAAAAGGAGTGATTCTAAATGAAACCTTACCATCCAATCCTTACCAAGTTATAGGTGATTGTTAGAAGTGCCCAAGCTACATACCAAGAGCATCCGAGGATTAAAAAACGATCTCAAGTGCTTAAAATTAAGTAAGGCTTGAACAGAACTTTACTGCCTTAAACTTACCCAGAATGGATTCAATCCCTCCGCTGAAAGGCGTTTTAGAGTGTTCAAATTGATCTGAAACTGCAATTAAAATGCTCTCGGAGCTGAAAAGACTAAACCACACACTAAAGAGGATCCAAAAGTGTCCAAGGAGTATCAACACTTATCAAACCTCTAAAACAGAATTGAATATGTACTGGCTAGTGCTTTTGGAGTTTGATTATGCGAACCCGAGCCTTACTGATCACTGGTACTTCGATTGAAGCCTAAATGGAGCGTGCATCATTAAACTAAGGTGATTCAAGACCTGATATCAAATGGGGCTTGCTGGAAATGGTGATTTTGGCCACAACCAATGCGAATCTAGGTTCAAGTGTCAAAGAAATCGCATGCTGTAGGTGTGGTCAGAATGGTGCCAGCAAGTGCTTCTAGTAGGAATAAGTTGCAAGAAACTCGCTAGTCTCAGTTATTGTTATTCTTAAGGGAAGCTCAAACTTAAGACATGTAGCATTACAAAATTCTTTTAACCCCTCTCTCTAATGGTTTAGAATTAGAACATGCCTTTGAAAACTAATATTTGGTGTGTCATCCTTGAAATCACTCATTTCCATCTATACCTAACAAATTAAAACAAAAGGCAAGGCTAAAGAAAAACGCATAACCAAGAAACCAATGAAAGAGTAGTCACTGATGCCGGGTCTGAGAGAAAATTAGAATTGTTAGTGGTCACTATCAATACCGGTGTTGGGGGGAGATAGAAACCAAGAAAGGGCAGAGCGACAGTCAACTGAACGACACTGTGAGTGCCACAACAGTGGGGTAGAGCGACTGAGAGGAGCAGCGTGGTGAGTTAGAGGGTGATTTTGAGACATGAGCAAGCGCGACGTAGCAATGGCCGAGAGGTAGACCAGCAACCTAAACCTAATTACTTAAAGATATGTTGAGCTTAAACATAATGAGCTGCTGGGCACAAAATAGAAAATAAAATGGCATTGGGTTGGTTTGGTTCAACTTGATATGTAAGGCCCTCAACCCGAGTACTGAACCAACCTACTTGGGTTTACGAAAAAAAATCAAACCAAACCATAATTTTGAACACCCCAGAACTGAGGTTTGACTTTCCTTTTTTCCTTTTTTTGTTGTCTCTACTCAAATAAACTCTCAACTAAAACCCCAATATTAAAATTCTAAAATCAAACTCGTGTTATCTTGGCTGTGTTCATCAAATTGCTACTAGATTGGAGTGTACATGTGTCTTCTTTGTTAGATATTTTCTTCCGTCTGTGCTAATCATCATTTGGGTTTAATTCATTTGATAACTTATTTCTGTTTTATTGTTTTGACGTTTTCATAGTTTGCCCTGCCTCACATTCTTGGTTGGGATCGGCTGACAAAACCCAGTCTTCGCATGGAAAAGGGTTTTCAACCAAATAAGGTGAATCGTGAAGGATTGAGTTTAGAGTGGGAAAGATGAATCTTCATAGAAGATGTGCTGAATACTGATAATGTTATTTGCTTTTAGAAGTTTATTTGATTACGTTACACTCTTCACAATCCACTATGGATTCTCGGAGCTAGAATTGGTTACACAAATCCATTCATTTTGTTGGCTCCCTACTATCACAAGTGATGGATGTGTTCGTACAATCTCTCTTTCGAATCAGAAACACTAGTTCGTGTTGAATACTAAATCGTTGTTGGTATAAGTATCTAAGAGGAACTTTCTATTTCCAATAATGAAATTACATGATAGATACTTCAAACGTGTTTCAAAAAGCTTCTGAACTATTTGCTTCACACAGAAAAGCATGATATCATTGACCTTTACAAATTATGACTTGAGTATCAATCGCACAAATTTGAGTATTTGGTTACGGTTCATTCAGTTTATACCTACATAGGACAGGAACACGCAAATCAACTATTCACACGAGCGTTATATACTTCTTAAAGAGGTCAGCTAGATGTTTAACCATTGTTCTAAATGGACTCTATGTATGCTAATCTAAACCTGAAGTCAAATGGATAACATTATGATAATATGAACTTCTAAGTCAAAAAGTCTCCATCAGTTAATGGGCGGGCAGTAAGGCAAAGACAAGCCCATTATTTAATCTGTTGATATCTTAAAAGATATATATTAGCCACACCAACAAGGAAACTTCTTCTCCAAAAATAATAACTTAAAAAAAATATCTTTCTGTAGTGACAAAGACAGTTCCAAACAACACCAAGACAAATAGTCAAATAAAACCTTATCACAATCTGGAAATTATTTATATATATGTTATGACTACATAGATTACATGTCTGGTCTTGTAGGGTCTGTTCTGCCAGGTTGGTCCCAATGAGCTCAAAAACAAAGAATTGATTTAACCATTCTGCTAAATGGTGTTGCTAAGAAAGAACAAGAGCTTCCTGCTCTGTTTGGATATGGAACAAAGTACTGTGAAGTTGTGATGGTCCTAAAAAGAGGGTCAATGGCATTGATAATTTGCAATCGAACAGCTATTTATGTACCAAGTTTTCCCTCGGGTCGTCTCCTCTCGATGAATTATCCAATGATGCATCCCTTTTTACTGCAGCAATGAATGATTCTTCCCCCTCTCCAATGTAGTCTTACACCGGAGATGTTGTATGTTGACAAGCTTGATTACTGTCTGGAGGAGTTGCTTCTTCGTGTTGCTGTTCATTCAATGACTCGAGTCCCATATCGATCTGAACATGTGGCGTTTGAGGCAACGGAGAAAGGACAGAGTGGCGACAGAGCGGGCAAGTAGTGTGGTTGGATAGCCAATGATCAATGCATTCAAGGTGAAATACGTGCCCACATGATGGTATCTTCTGAAGCTTATCTTCTGTTTTGTATTCCCCTAAACAGACTGAACATCTACAGCAACACACAAACACACAAACAATATCCCTTTAATTATCATCAACACCTAACTCTCTTCATTATTCCAAACTCAAACAGCACATTTTCATAATCTTGTGATTTTCAAATTTTCCTTTGAAAGCAGATCAACTAGACGACACGAAAACTAAACGAATCAACGATCAATTTAGAAAGTGAAGTGATACTATTCATTTAAAAAGAAACTAGTGCAGGTTCCCTTGCTCTTCAATTCATTCTAAGTTCACAAACAAGACATCAGAAGAATAAGGACAACAAACAACCAGAATACAGAAACCAGACATAAGAAAAAAGCCACTCACTGTGTGTCAGTGACAAAGAATGACTCATTGTACACAATAATGGGAAGCATCTCCCTGAATTCCTTCTTCAACCCAACTTCAGCCTGCTCCAACAACAAGGGAACGATCAAAATCATTAATAATTAAGAACAAAGCAAAGAACATACACAAAAAAAAAGACCATACTGTTGAGATGTCATTGTTGTTGACTGCAGTGGAGGTTCGCATTCGGATGGAGCTCCAATCAGCCCTTCGGCGACGAAGATAAAGGAGATAGAAAAGGAGGAGAATAATGAATGTGACAACAATTGGAATACAGAAAACAAAGAACTGATAGATCTTCATTTCAGATGCAGGCTTTGAAGCTGGACCTGGCCCAGAAGCAACTGAATAGCCTTTTGATGGATCCAAATGGTCGTAAGCCATGTTCACAAAAAATAAAGGCCCAATGTGCTAGATCTCACAAACCCAGAAATAATTTACAGATTTGGAAAAAACCCAGAAGCCAGAACAGAAAATTTCAGCTATATTATCGATAATCAGCAATACCCAGATCCAGAAAAACAAAAAGAAACCCGAATAAAATGTGCTCAACAGCGAAATCAAGAGATCATAGCAAGAAAAATGGAGGCATTAGCAAATCTGGACGAATTTAAGGATTTCAACGAGGGAAATTACAAATTAGATGAACCCAAATAAGAACAAAATCAGTAGAAGAAGTAGAACAGAGTGAGGAAAATAAAGAAACGAGAAATGAGTATGCGGCGAAGGGGCAGTGTTGGGTTTGAACGGCCGCAAAGATGTAAAGGGCGAAATGGGGAAGGAAGTTAGGTGGAAAGAGCAAAAGGATTTGGAATGCAAAAAGGAGAAGGCTAACAAAGGCTTATAAGTATAGGATTTTGTATAATATTATAATGAAAATGAAGGGGTTGAAGATAAACATCATTTCTTTCTCCTTTTAATACTAAACCAAATAATATCCGACATGGGTTGAATATCTTTTTGGGAGTCTTGCTAAATGGAACATTGAAATGGTTTTAAATATTTTCAATGGAAGAATTTGTCATTTTCTTTGAGCAAATGACAACAAAAATGGAATATCTAATCGCAATAAGAACTTGCTTCGTTGGACTTTCTTCAATGAACAACACATTCATAGCTAACAGTTCATTTAAATTCATTTCCTTAGTTCAACGGCATGGTTTGTGCTTAATTAGCCTTTCAGTTTGGCCTTTGAATGAGAACGAGATCTTTGGGTATATGCTTTTAATCGTCTATAAGTGCCGCATGCCTTATGCTGAAAGATAATAATATGTATTTTTGGACATTTTAATAATAATAAAAAAAAAAACCTTTTTTTCCTAATATATGACGTACAACATTGTCATCTCGGTTCTGAACAACACAACTCATGCATCGTGATGTCGTCCCATGTCTCGGGACACATCGACCATCTTGACTTGCTCGAACACATCTGTTGGGAACTGGCCCATATGTCGATCATCTCATTGGGACATCCCGAACATTCATCCATTTGGATTCTCTCGAGCATCAGACTCACAAGTGTCCTACTAAACTATTTACGACATACGTTTCAAATAGCGGGTGCATAATTCAACCTCTGACACGTGGGTTGGAGCGCAATATCGGCACACACGTGTCGTTCAGTACTGTCCTTGAAAAACTCATTTCAAAGGAAGTCGTCCTAGACACTCGTCTCGAAATGCTCGCCCTCACTGTGACACACGCATGTGTTACAGAGTAGCTTGCTTGGGCCATATTATATATATATATAATGTATATCTCTGAACTTTTGAATTCCTTCTTTTGAAGCATGGATCATGACGTGAATTGATGAGAGAGAGAGTTATGAAAATATGGTAATTTTTTGTTTTTTTTAACGGAATGACTTTAGAATTTGAAAACATAAAACATATACGATGTGTATATATACACCAAAAATATAGTTATTTAAATTTAAATACAAAACGGAGAACGATACACATAAGGATAATACTGGAACAAAAATGCACAAAAATAACATAGGAGAACTCAAATCTAAGTTGTCTCTATGGTGCTTACTCCAGACTGCTTAGTCCTCGACCTGCATCTAGTCATTACTTGAAAGATAGTAAAGAATTAGAGTGAATATAAAATGTTCCGTAAGTAAGTAGCCTACTTGTAGACTCTTGATCATGTCGATGATGCAATTAAGGAGCATGAATCCTCTCTAAATGTCAACTTCATTTTCCGCCCAATAAATCATGAACCTAAAGCACTCTCTTGGATGGACTGCTAGATCACTTGACTGGTACTAACAACAGTAACCTAGTAATATCCATGTCTAGGATTCAAAATATGGATTTAATTCCGACGTTTTCCTACATAGTATCTCATGCCCAAGATTTGGATTAAGATTTGAAATCAAGATTTGGCATTTAGGTCCTAACATTTCCTTGCCTCCCTTGTAATATGGTCATAAGTTGGCATCATGTTATTCACAGTAGGATATTCCACTACTTGAGGTGAGGAATACATGAGATCGTGGTGCATCGAGTAGCTAGTAGGTCTAGGATGACTTAGGACACATACTAGATAAGGTTGAGTTTACTTCATGGAGTGGTATTTAAATATTTGGGCATTGTATTAAGCTTATTGTCAGTAAATCAACGTGCTTGGCTTGGTTAGACCATTATAGCTAATTCATAGGTGTTAAGTTTATAGTTCACGCTCTAAGGATACAACCTAGACTTCACATAAATCATATTTACTCTATTTCAAAACGTGCATATCATTCTCATACCCAAAAATGTCAAAATCATTCAAATCATCACAAATAGTTACAACATAAAATTTCATGTAATTTGGAGTTCATTTGACTCATAAAACGTAGTAGAATGTCTAATAGGGAGATTTTTGTTATTTTTACGGTTATCGATGGTTTACTAAACATGCTCCTATTCCCTTTAAGTTCATCCTATATCATGAATTTAGAGTATAAATTCATATTTTAAAAATACAACTACCCTATGCTTGTGTCATAGTCTCAAATTGCGATGTTGTCACCAACTGCACCGGGATACCTTGTATTTACTTGAAATAGAAGTAGCACGTGGCTTGAGTATTTTAAGAAATACTCAGTAAGTGACCCCCTATCGGAGTTAAATGCAAACACATGCATATCATGAGTGGGACCTATTATATTAAATTTATCAATTTGCATGTCAATCATATCATATATCATTCATGTTGCACATATGTCATATCCTAATATTTTCATGTCGTTGCACGTAACAATTCACATCATGCACATATCATATCATATCATATACTGTAACAGTCACATAACATAACTCGAGCATGCCTTCAACATATCATATCATAATATATCAATTTACCGCATACATCATAAAATTCGCGTAACATCTCATATACATATCATTTCATAACAGTTTGCATATACGTCATATGACACATGCGAAGCCACAGACACGTATCATCATTCAGTACACAATTATAACTAAACTACGGTAGAGTCACTTACTTGGTTGGCCTTGGCCGAAGCTACTCTAACCCCTTAACATTAGCTTAGCTTAACACTGATCTCTAAATTTTAATTCTACGAAGCAGTTCAACAATCATAAATTAAAATTATACTATAGAAATTGGCATAAAATAATTTAAACTTACTCGGGTTAAAAAAAAAAAAAACGTTATTAAATAATTTGAAAAGTTGAAGGGCGTTGGAAACTAAAGGGTCAAATTAGAAGGTAGAAAAATAAAGAAAGAAGAGGATAGTATGCGGCGAAGGGGCAGAGTTCTAAAGGGCCAAATATGGAAGGAACATAAAGAACATTAAGGCATTGAAGATAAACATTGTTTATTTATTTATTTATTTATTTATTTATTTATTTATTTATTTATTTATTTATTTTCCTTCTTTGATTATTATTAAATCAATATTATGTGATATTGTTGACTATGTTTTTCAGGGTCTTCCTAAATGAAATGTGGAAATGGTTTTAATATTTAGAATGGACCAATTCTTTAGCCATTAATTAAATATCTAATCCAAACATCAACTTAGCTGCCTTCTCTCTCCTCCTTCAAATCTTATTATATTTTCTAATAATCCATCCAATGAGTTTACAAATCTTATATACCATAGTCGGCTCGTTTAAATTTAGTCCCACGACACCTATATAGATTGTGTTAGGTTGGCGAAATCTTTTAGGCTAATTCGAAATTGAAACCCAAACCAGTCTTTTCGAGTTAGATTGGGTTCTTGAGTTGTTATATTAAAACTAAGATATCATAAAACGTTAAACATTGTTATTTTTCATAGTAATCTTAAAAGTAGAGTAAGGCTAAGTTGTAACCCTATTTCGGTTAGTTGGGTTGACCTAATAAACAAATGTCATATGTGAATACCCAAACTTTTTGGTTTCCTAAAATTCAACTCAATCGAACTTTTATGGTTTAGGTTGAGTAATTGGATCGAAACGGTGTTAAAATTAAAATTTAATAAAGGAGATTGGATATTGAATAAGTTATTAAATACGCTTCAAAGGTTTAGTACTTGTTAAGATACACCCTCGATAATTTAAAATGAAACGTGTATTATTATGGAGGTATTTTTTTAATAGGAAAAAAAGAGAGGGAAGCAACAAAACATTATACCTACTGGCAAATTATATTAATTTCCAGAGTTTTAAGCATGGTTTATGCAATAAAGCCTTTGCAATTTGACATTTGAAAGGCATAGGGAAGAAGATAATGAGATCTTTGGGTATATGCTTTCAATACTCAAAAATCTTTTGTTTTTTTCCTTTTCTTTTGTTTTCTCTATTGGGTTGAATATTGCAATGTGGCATGTCCATATATAGAAAGATAATGATTTATATATGGAGGACCTTGTTATTAAAATAAAGATTAGAAGATAATTTTGACTTACAATTCCACCTAATTTTGTCCCGAAAACAACACGACCTTTCCAACGTTTGCTACGTGTTTTTGTCGTTCTAAAATGTGCTAATTAAAATACCCAATCCCTAGTTTTCTTCGAAGTTTTTGTTGTAATTTGTCTGGAAGATGTATTGTCATAATTTTCACATAATCATGATCCATATTCTTATTTATTTTGGTTCATAACCTTTTTTATTCATATTCTCATTTGATATATGAATCATCTTGATTCATGTACGAAAATTAGTATTGCTATGTCTATATAAATACTTGTTTAGCATTGTTTTGAGGCAATTTGGAGGAACTTTGTAAGACAGACTTTATAGTGTGAGGTGTGATAGATATACTTTGTAAACACTTTGGTTATAGTGATTGGCTACTATCCGTGGATGTAGGGGAACTTCTTCTCTCCGAACCAAGTAAATCTTTGTGTCTCTCTTCTTTTAATTTCTATTTGTCGGTATGTGAGTGCGATCGATCTTGCTTTTGCTTCCTTTTATTCTATAAGATATAGTTCGGAGACGAACGAAAGCAAAACCCAATAGATATGCAACATCCAAATAAACGAGGGATAATGAGAATAATCGTAAGAATACATTGTTACCTCATCTATTGAATTGGAGTGAGATAGGTTATTTGGGAGTAATTTGTAAAGTGGGTTGTTTGAAGTGAAAGGCAGGCAACTTTAGAAAAACACCACACCACGTAACATCCTTAAACGCACAACCAGACAGAGGATGGTTGCTTGGAGACTTATGTCCATTGTTTTGTCATGAGAAGCTAACCTCGTAAATTGAGTTGTTGTTTAACTGTGGGCGGAGTATTGGTAGTTTACTTCATTCCATTCCACCTCTCCAATGCTATTCTATGGGCGCCCACATACGTAAATTTTGTGTTTCTCTATCTTGAAAGTTCGGAATT